AATGTGCAGAGAAGTAGAAGCTAATAAACTCACTCATCAATTTCACTGCATTTTTTGGTAAGCCTTCTCTCCTCACAAGTACTTCAAAGCATATAAGTGAGCGAGCGAACGAGTGAGTGACTTAGCTTCGCACCTCCGTTTCGTTTCTTTCTCATATTAGTATATAGCTTCTCTTTTCATTAAAAATAAAATGTTGGTTGACCTTAGACTTGAGTCTTTTTCTTTTTTTTTTTGGGCGTTTCAAAATCCCTAAGGAGGCTTATGTTATTGACAATGATAAAAGAGTAATTAGTATAATGGTTATTTTGGCATGAAATTTTATTATCGAGATAGTTTTGTATGATAAAATAAAATAAAGGTTCAAATATGTGAGTTTGAAATATTTATTTTGACACTCACATCGTTTAAATTTATTATTATTAATTAAAATTTATAATTATTAGATGTGTGTTAAATGTAAAGCATGTGTGAACGTAAAACGTATTACTAGTCACATGCATATAATACAACTACAATGTTTTTGACCTTCTTTTGCAATTACAATTATATTTGATTTCTAATAATCATTTTCAAATGTCTTAACATCACATTGAAAGAAATTTGTAAATTGTTTTATACTATTCATTTTCATCATAACCTTTTAATAAAATAATAAGTTGAAAACCATTTCCCAATTATCTTGTTAAATTCTCAAACGAATCACGCACCATAAAACACGTTCAAGGGCTGTAAGAGCTTTTGAAGTTGAAAAGACATGGATGGCAGGATGGGTGAACTACTTAAAAAGATAAAGTGAGGATGAGATAGAAAAAACATATTAATTAATAAAATAATATTTTTTATATAGGTAACAAACTAACATTTAATATTTTGCATTTCAAAACATATCTTATACTTATAAATGGGGATTTTTTTTGCATATATGGTAAAATAATACTGTAAAAATATTTTTAAAATAAAAGGCCCAATTTATTTATATTTTTAAAAAAGAGCGGTGGGATGATAAGTCCCACATCGCCTGATTGAAGTCATGATGCCCACAAAACAGGCGATGTGGGACTTATCATCCCACTGCTCTTCACCTTCCTTTGTAAGAAAGGCTCTGATACCACATAGGGCCCTAAGGTCTAACCCAAAAATTAACTCGTGAGTAGGAGGCACCCAAATGATATTTAAACTCTGTGGTTGTTAGGACTTCAGGTGATGTGGGACTTGCCATCCCACCGCTCTTCACCTTTCCTGCAACCAAGGCTTTGATACTATATTGAGCCCTTGGGTTCAACTCAAAAACTAGCTCTTAAGTAGGAGGCACCTAAAGGATATCAAGTGTATTGTGATATGTGCAAAGTTGGTGGCAAAAAAAAAGAGAGAGAGAGATATGTAAAGTTTCTTATTTGATTGTTTTCCTAGTGCTAAATGGTTCCCAAGTTGTTTACCAATAAGTTGTCAATACCAAATCACGACACTTCTCTTGAAAAAAATCACACTCTGACCAAACTAGGAAGATATTTAAATTTGAAGCCCCCAGTACTGTATATAAGCTTCACTTTGGGAGAGAGGACTATTCTAAAATATAAGTTTTATTTTTGAATTTGTCTGAATATTTATTATTATTTTTCCTATTTTATCCTTTGTTGACTATATTTAGTACCCCTTCTCATTAATATTATCTCCATATATTCTCTTTCATCATTTTTTTACTCATTGTTTCTTTTCATTTACTCTCTTAATAAATAAGGATAAATTTGAAAAAAAAAATCCATTTCTAACATATTTATTATTTTTAACTGTTAGTTCGTTAAACATGATTTTATTATTCAAAACTTATATATAGGACCGGAAAGGGTATTAACCAAGGATTTTTATGATTTGTTGACACATATAAAGATAAAATTTGCCCATAATCACCTTGTTTACGTAAAAGTTGAAAATTTGTGAGAGCTAAATTTGAAATTTATGACATTGGAAAGGTTGAAGTTTTTTCATTTGGCCAAAAAATTAAATTAACAATGCCATAAAAAAACCACTTAGAATAATTCTTAGAGGAAAATTAAATTTTTGGTTCTCATAATTTTCACTAATTTGCAACTTAGTTTTTATACTTTGACTCGATACAACTCAACCTTTATAGTTTTGACTCGGTTGTAACTTAGTTCCTGAAATTTGACTCATTGCAACTCGATCCCTATACTTTTAACTATTTTATAATTTAGTTCCTCTTTTTATCAGATATATAATTTTATTTTTCAAAAAATACAAGGACTAAATTATAAAATGAATAAAACGATAGGAATCAAGTTGCAGAGAGTCAAATTTTAGAAATTGAGTTACAACTAAATCAAAACTATGAAAATTGAGTTGTACCGAGTCAGAGTGTAAGGATTGAGTTACAAACATGTGAAAACTATAAGGACTAAAAGATTAACTTTTCCTAAGTCTTAGTCAAGCAACATTTTCGCATTTGTTCTTTAGTTTTGATATTTTTAAAATTAAAAAATAAATATGAGAAAAATACTCAGTTGGAAACCATTTTAATTGAGTTTTTATGATAGGGTTTTCAACTTAATTTTTCAGGATGTTCAGCTTCTAGGTGAAGAGGAGTGTTCGGGTGATTTTTTTTTCCAAAAGATTATATAGCAAAGGATTGAAATGCCTAATTAACATTAAAAATTTTGAAGATTTGAAAATGTTAGTACCATTCTTTTTTATCAGTGACCAAAATTTTGTTTACCTACTTTTTTGTTTTGTTCCCCCTTTTTTTTCTCGAATCTGCAACATAATCAATGATAAAATAATTTGAATTGGTTGGGGGTGGTTTTTGGAGGGTGGGGGATAGAGAAAGTAGTAATATATAGGCTATTAATATATGATTTGGCCAGCTAGGAATGCTTAAGCAAGTTGAAATTTGAAAGTCAAATAATGGGAAGCGCGTAGTTAAGCATTATCTCGTGGCACCTACCACGTGAGTGCTCATGACCAAGGCCTAATGGAGACATTTGTGGACGCCCACTACTCCTCACACATTCCATCCTTCTAGTTGTCCATCACTTGCTTTTTTTTTTCCTATTTGTAACTACACTTTTTTTGACACCAAATCTGTGCTTGGCGTTGTGGTTGATTTGTAATCAACTTTATTCCTAGACTTTTAAGAGGGTGTTTGGATGAAGTTTGAAAAATAACTTTTGGATAATAGATTTGAGACAATAGATTTTGTGAAGAATATATTTTGTGAAAAAATAATTTTGATAAAATGAGAGTATTTGGATAGTTGTTATCAGAAGCACTTTTTAAATGTGCAAATTACTAAAAATGATATAAATTAATATGATAATTATATAAAAGACAGATTTTATAACATATTTTAATTTGAAGGAATAACATTATTAATAATATATTTTTTACCAACATAATTAATAGTAATTAACATCAAGTAATTAATAAATAATTAATATGTGTATATTATATCAATTATACATATTTAACATAATGTAATTAATAAAATTATTAACAATATATTTTTTGCCAAACAGGCCCTAAATTTTGAAAACTCATTTTTACCTCCAAACTAATCATTTACTTTTCAATCTGCAAATTATTTTATCAATTATACATATTATTCTGTTATATTCAACATTCCTTATTTTTTTGCATTCCTTTACTTTTATGATATAATTTTAAGCTCTTGAAAAATATTTTTTTAAAATAATAAATGGTTTTTTTTCCAATGATGTCATGTACTTTATTTTCACATGAACGTGGCGGCATGCCGCTCTGGTCAAAAGAATGGAGAGGGGGTAAAGTGGCAGCACGGAGCATACCCTTTCTATGAATTATTTTGTGCCTCCAAATGGAAGAATTCTAGCAAGCGCTTATCATTTTCCTCGCCGAGTCAATAAAAATAAAATACGAGCTCAGGCCTTAAGCACATATTATTTATTAATTTAAAAATCAAGGAGTTTTTTTTTTGTGGGTTAAAATTTAAAAGTGAAATGCGTAAATAAGTCAAACTCCACGTCAAGCTTGTATATTTCAGCCTATTTTGCAGACAAAAATATGTATTGGTATATTATTTTTATTTTCAAAGTGTTATTTTTAAAATAAAACCAATTAACACACTATCTCCTCAAATAACTGAAATAGTTTCCCTGAATTTTTCATTTTAATTTTGATTTAGAGCAACAGTTTGTCTCCTAAATCCTAATCATTAGATTGATTCAGCTTTAATATTGAAAAATATATTGAATATGAACCCCAGCCAATTTTTTTGCGTCACACCATATATCCGTTTGCATTTTGCATGCCAGCTATTGCTCCGAGGGAATAGATCATCGTCCAAGAAGCAACGCGCTGGGGAATGCTTAACGACACGAGTCGATGCTTCCAAAAGGACGCGAATCTAACCACCTCAGACTTTTAAGCGCAAACTCCAGAGCCCAAACTGATCCTCACCGTTCGGTTCAAATCAAATTCAAAGCAGCAGCCGTTAGATGCTTCACGCGCCAAGCAGTCAGTTGTCTGACGTGGTCATCGCCGTCTTCGCATGGCAATTAGCCGAGCACGAGGCGCGATCAACGCGGCGAAGCAATCCCACTCTCGTAAATAACTAAAACTTGACGGTCAGTTTCCAATGTCTCTTAACATAGAAGTTAGACCCATGGGCGGTTTCCTGGGACGTTCATAATGACGTCGTTTTTGAAAACTGTTAGCGCCAATTTATGCTTTCTACGCACAGAGCTAAGCGCAGCCGTTGATTTCCGATATTGTAACAGTCAAAACCGGCGGGTGATTTTAACGTTTTTGTTTTAAAGTGGTTGGACTGGACCAAGCCACTACTCTTTGGAATGGTCAAGAAATAAAAATCAGAAATTTCCAATATACGAATCAATCATCAATCAGCGAGACAAAGATCCCTGTCCAAAATTGAAAAAATGATATTTATTATATTTATATTTATATACTAGTCAAGCACTACCCTTCACATGCCCAAAATGGTGCACGCATAGCATATCGCTCTCGAATTTTTCGTAGTGCATATTTAAATTGGAAAACAGTACAGACATGGTAAAAAGATAGGAGAAACAAAGATAAAGATAAACCAATAACCCAGCACCACTTTCGCCCACGAAACACCCTCGTTCGTCCCGGTGCTTCATCCTAAGAAACCTGCCGTGCGGTTTGCTCTTCTTCGTCATTTTTATCAGGTAAATTTTATATAAGAGAGATAAAGGGGGGAAGCGGGTTGTGGTTTGTGGGAGTTCTGGTCGAAATTTTTGTTTGCGACTTGTTATAATAATGATTGAATTTGTGCATAGAAATGGAGGTTGTGGCAGCGAACGCCTTAAAATCGAGTTTGCACAGAGAATTGTCGTGTCTGAAGTCGAGCCAGCAACCCTTCGGCGAGGAAATTTGGTGTTTGAATTCGAATAACGGCGTTGCCGGTGAGGATTTCTGGGTGGATGACTTATTCGATTTCTCTCAGAGTGAATTTCAACCTGAATATGAAGAAGACGACGAGGAAAAAGACAGTCTCTCCGCTTCCTCCTCACATGACCGGAGCGAAGAAGACGCCAACTCCAACTCCTCTTCCGGTCCCGGCGATTCTGACCTCATTTTCCCTAACGAACTCGCCGTTCCGGTGAGTCATTTTTCTCGACTTTTACGCGCAGAGACATAAATTTTATTTTACTTCTATAAATTCAATTTATTGTTGTTAAATAATTCATTTAAAATTATTACAGGACGATGATTTGGCTGACTTAGAATGGGTTTCTCATTTCGTTGACGATTCTGTACCGGCGTTCCCTCTTCTGTACCCCGTCCGTTCCGAGGAAATGAAGACCCGGTCTGAACAGGAACCTAGCCCGGGCTTTGCGAAAACCCCTTGTTTTCCCTTTGAATTTCCCGTCAAGGCGAGAAGCACCAGGTGTAGAAGAGCCAGGATGTTTAGCCCCTTGCTTTCCCGGCCATCTTCGCCACCGTCTTCATGTTCGTCGGTCCTTTCCTCGTCGTTGACTCTTATCACCGTTGGCGCGGCTCCGAAGACAGCCTTGGTACATGGCGTTACGGAAACGCCCTTGAAAAAGCAGAAGAAAAGGGCGGAGACTCAAGCCGGTGTTAGTGGTGGGTCCCAAATTCAGCGTCGGTGCACCCATTGTCAAGTGCAGAAGACTCCGCAATGGAGGACAGGTCCGCTTGGCCCCAAACACTTTGTAACGCTTGTGGGGTCCGGTACAAGTCGGGTCGGCTTTTCCCGGAGTATAGACCGGCCTGTAGCCCGACTTTCTCTATCGATGTTCACTCGAACAGCCATCGTAAAGTGTTAGAGATGAGGAAGAGGAAGGAGATGAGCGAACCGGAATGTGAGTTGACTCAAAACTCAGACAGTTCCGAGTTGCTGAGCTTCTAGATTCGAAATCATCATCCGGTCTAACCGGGTTCGGTTTTGTAAAATAGATAGTGGTTTTCGAATTAGGCTTGTGGTGCTAGTCATTGGTCCGCTAGGGAGGTAACAGAAATTAGGAATGAATTGATTGTTTGTATTCTTATTTCTTAGGAGTAGTTGAGGGCACCGAAATTTCTTTACGAGTACATTTTGGCCATACACTTTTAGGTTTTGTTGATATTTATAATAGCTTGATTTCTTTCTCTCTCTGGTCTCCTTCTTTCAACTTACTGGATGTTTAAATGTAAACTAAGCTATGGTTTCAAAATATTTTTACGGTTTACGAAGTAAATATATAGAGAAGTTTGTCTCGTTTTACCAAAAAAATGTTTCTGAGAAACGCTTTTCAAAGTTACCAAACACCCTTAGTAGCATTTGAATTATTCAACTTTATTTTGCAAATGAACTGTATTTGCATCCCTAGGTCAATAAAACACGCATCTGAGATCTTAAATAATCTTAATTTTATCTGTTCGCTTTTTTGTTTTTTTTAAAAAAAGTCATTTTAAATTTTTGAATTGATAGCTCCCAAGTGGGAATCACATACGAACACAACAGTTTAACACCATGCACTAAACTATGCGATCAAGGGTGATGAATTTTAAAACTTGGGCTGACTGAGATAGTAATGGTGAGTGAAATATGAGTAGAGCTAAGTGATAATTAACCGCTTTAAATTTTAAATATGCACTCTAAAGTCGAGTGAAGGATGAATGGTAGAGCGGAAGAAATCAAATACTGACACCGTCGTTGAGCAACAACCCAACAACTGTTGGGTGGATATGGAAACCATCATTATTCATTGAATTAGTCTAATTCGTTGGGTTAAGTGGTCGATTTTGAGCGGGCAAACAAAAAAAACAAGTGTGGTCGATTTTGAAATCTGGGGTGGCAAGCAAGTGGAGGTTTTGAATTCCTTGTAATCCCAGCGATTCAATGGCCCGTAGCATGGAATTGATCGTGATCGAACCACTTTGGTAAAATTAAATTCTTTGACAATTCTGATCTAACGTATTACTGGGTACCAAAGCGAGGTATTAGTGTGCTTTCACGAAAAATAATTCCTCAAGAGGAATTTAATACATCAAATATATAGAAAAAGGGCATCAAATTATGGTTGTGCACCTAAAATTTGGTACTCACTTCCTGCCTTAAATTTTAAGAAAATTTTCTGCTATTGCGTGCCTACTTCCCCTCATAAAGGGCAATGGGGCCACCCCCATGTGTTGTGGTGGACATTTTTATTGCCTTTACGCTATCTCCGATTTTTAATATGATAACTAGTTTGATATTTAATTTTATCATGAATGTAAAATCATAATTTATTTTGTCTCTTATATTTATTAATTTCTTTTTAATGTAGTCTTTGTATCAATTACACATGTTAAATATTTTATTAAAAAGTAGTTATAACTAATACACATTATTAGTAAAAGTATTTTGGGATAGATAACATTTATTTATTACAAATAATTAACTTAACTGATTTTTTAATCTATTCAAATTAATCAACTAGTATCTTTTTATTTCTTTTTTTTAGCAAAAACTACTTCTAATTCTTAACATAATAGATAGTCTGGCATTCAATTTGGTTATTAATAAAAAACCTCAATCTATTTTGTTTATCATATTTATTCATTTTTTCAATATAATCATTGTAGTAATTATACACATTAAATGTTCTATCAAATGGTAGTTTTAACTAATACATATGATTAGCAAAGGTATTGTAGGATGGATAATGCTTATTTATTACAAATTACTACTTACAGTCCTTAATATAAGACCTTATTTCATTTTTATTCTGGTCTTAAATATAGAATTTCAATTCACTTTGTTTCTAATATTTGTATATTTTTTCCTAAAGTAGTCTTTCTAATAATGATAATTCTAGCCAACACATTTGATTAACAAGGATATTTTAGAAAAGACAACACCTATTTATTGCAAATAACTAATTTAACTTATTTTCTAAATCTTTTCAAATTAGTAACTAGTTCTTATAATTAGAACCGGGAGTAGTACTAAATAAACCTTCTTAGTCTATTTAAATTAATCAACTAACTCTTATATTAATCACACAATATATTCTGTTGACTCAAATTCATTTAAAATCAGGTCAAGGACCCTCTTCATTATCTTGATCAAGGGATTAGCGGCTCGCGAAGCTGAACTAGGGTTGACTTTGTGACGAACGAGTCGATGAGATAGTCATGTGCGTAATTGATGGAGAATTGGAAAGATGGGCTCCGCTCATGTTCGTGTCGTTGATGAATAGGAAACGTTTGGCAAGCGGTGAAATCAAGGACTGGTGAACAGTGATTGACGCGAACAAGGTAACGTGAGTGCATGTGGGTGAGGTCGTCGTGAAGGATAGCGTGGATGAATTATTAAAATGAATGCTAGTCATGAGAGTACTTCAAAATTACTACCTTTCAGTTCTTAATATAAGAGTTAATTAATTAATTTAAATAGATTAAAAAAATTAATAAAATTAGTTATTATAATAAACATGTATTGATTTTTTTAAAATATTCCTACTAATTAACTATATTGGTTAAAAATATTATTATTTCTAGGACTTTATAAAAAAAAAGAATAAATATAAGAGATAAAATTGACTGGAATCTTATATTTAGAATTAAAATAAAAGTTAAATGAACTTTTATATTAAAAACCAGAAGTAATGAAATATAAGGTTAATGTTACAGGTCAGATTTCGGGTAAAATTTTAAAGTCTTCAATGAAGTCTTGGTTTAATTGCTTTGAATCCGTTTCAATCCCAGAAAAAGTCTACACAAATTTTTAACCTTTAAAGTTTAACAATAAATCCCTCAAAATTTTAATTTTGCTCGAATAGTTTTTTTATTGCTAACTGAATTTACTCCATTACGCATATTTTTTTTCCTCGAATTTTGAATTACATTGAGATAATTTTTATATACCATGAGTTAACGGATTTAGTTTAATAACATTTTTGATATTAATAAAAAGGACTTTTTCTGGTCAAAAAAATTGTCCAAAATAATATATTTCTGATATTGGTGTGTGAGCTTCAGTGACCAGCAGAGGGGGGCATCAACGTTGTAGGGTGTGTTTGGATTGGTAGTAGATAAAATTGACTTCTGTACTAACTGACATTTGTAACTGAAGTTAAAGTAAAAGTTTGTTAGTGTAACGCGATTTATGGGTGTGTTTGGATTAGCGGTGGGAAAAGTTACTTTTTTTCAATATGACTTTTGCAAGAGTCAGATTAGATAAAAGTCAGGTAGTGATGTGATTTATGTTTGGATTGACTTTTATAAAAAAGTCAGTTTAAGAAATTAAAAATTGTTTAGATGATTAATAAAAAAGTAAGTTTAGATGTAAAGTAACTGAAAATGACATAAACTTTATTAAATAGTAGATATTTATATTATATGTTTATAATGTGATAATTGTTAGAAAAAAATTAAAATTAAAATTAAAAAATAAAAATATTTATTTTTAAAGAATAATATATTTATTTTTTTAAAAATGATTTTATTATTCAAAAAATAATTTTTTTAATATTGAAAACCAATTGGCTGGATTTAAAAAAAAAGAACTCATGTAATGCATTCTCTCTCTCCCTCACTCATGGACCCCACGAAATGTGTAGTGGAGAAACTTTTTTTTTTTACCAAGTCGCAGTGGAGAAGCTGAAGGCAGGAGCTTCTGAAAAAAAAATCCGTTTCTGGTATAAGTCCATCTCTCTTCACGGTGAGTCCGAGCATATCTTTTATAAAAAGCTACTTTTACCGGTGAAAAAGTCAGTTTGGAATCTTTACCGTGATCTCAAACACACTCTATGTTTGGATAGGTACTAATAAAAAGTCTCTTGAAAAAGTTAAAAATTGTTTGATATTTTATGTTTTTAATGTGATAATTGTTAAAAAAACCTAAAACTATTATGATAAAATAAAAATAGTTTATTTGTAAAATTATAAAATATTTATTTATTTTGTTCTCAAGTAATCCTTATAGTGATTATGCATGTTAAGGAGTTTTTATTAATAGGTAGTTTTAATATACATGATTAATAAGAATATTTTATGTAAGACAACATCAATTTATTACAAATAACTAACTTAATTAATTTTATTAATATCTTTAAATTAGTTACTAACTTTTATATTAAGAATATGTAGTATCAAATTATTGGGTTTGTTAGGAGTAATTTTATCTTTTTTCATTACCATCTTTTCTCTTTCCACATTTGTGACAGCAAAAACTCAGAAAATTAGCTTTAGCGTTAAGCTATCTTTTTACCTAGCCAAAACACTCATCCAAATATTTGTTTAAGCATTTATCTGCCAGTAACGTTTGGTTGGCGACTTGGCGTCATTCCAATACATGTTTTCCGTTGAAAACGCTGATCTAAACATGCATGAAGCTTCGGTCATCCACGGAGCAGCCGCCAGCAGTGGTCACGTGGTGAATGGGACCTTATAAAAGCATAAATATTTCACAATTTCATTTAAGCACATAGCGCATTAGCGGGATTTTGAAAATTTATAGCACTTTTTAAGGTTTCTGGCCTTTTGCTATGTTGAGTTTTTTGTTCCCATGATTTTTTCACAGATATATTCATCAAAAATAAAAGTAAAGGGGAAAAAAAAAATCTAAACCAGCCAAACTGGCCCCGTGCCGTCGTGGTCTAGCCCTCTGTTTGGACTGGACGTAGAACGTTCATAGTTCCATTATCACGAAAAACAAAAATAGAAAGAGATATGGGCCACGAATTTGGACTTCTGAAGAAGTAAGCTCAGATTGCCTGGGGCTTACAGTCCCCGAGCCTCGTACTTGTCACTGGTCTTCAGGCCCGTTTTATAAACCCCTTTATTATTAAGGAAAAAAAATCAGAGAATATTTTGCGGTGCGTGGCCTGCTCCCCTTGAATCCTACCATTCTCCGATCCTCACTTCCCTTTGCTTCTTTTATCATTCCCCTGATACCAGTCATACTCACCGTTATTGTCCAAAGCAGAGCTCAGGTTCGTTATCCTTCTCTACTCTTTAACCTGAGGTTTTGTGTTTTTCCTTCTGGCTACTTTTTTAGGGTTAGGGCTAATTGTCTGGTTCTGCCTCTTCCGCGGTGTAATTTTGCTATTTGGACACGATTGCTTTATCATTTCGCTTTTTCTCATCCTCTTGATTGAATGTGGTTTGTTACGTATGTTGTCGA